TCTCTCATGTTCGGCTACCTTATGTCTAACTAGACAATGACAGATGCCGCTTCCCTGCAGTATTTTCCCAAACTCTGTGCTCTTCCCTGCTAGAATGCGACATCTGTCTCCTTCATCCACATCTGTCCTGCCATCCATAATTCATAGCGATGCTTTTGTCTCTCTGATTTTTACAGACTGGGTGAGTGGCAGTTTCTCACCTTTTCTGACCTGACGCTTCCCAATTAAATTGATTTTCATGGGCCAATGTGTGCGTGCGCAGGCATGCAAGAAGGTGGAAGAAGTGGGGAGAAGTTCACACACACACACACACACACACATACACACAACACACCAATGCTCTGGACCTGAATTTTTATGGAGCGTGTCAGTGCAAAGTTGAGCATTTTCAGAAATGGGGTTTAGCTAATAGACTGATTATGCTGGCTGGGACTAAACAACAAGGTTTTCAGAATCTGGATATAGAAATAATATTTAAGATTTCCAGGCCTGTCCCTGTTTTGGTAGCCTTCTTATTACTGGATATGAAGGGAAAGAATCCCCTTTCAAAGTACTGGTGCTAATCTGTCTTGATGGCTTGGTATGTCTGTCTCTTGGAGAACATCTACTTCTAGTGGAATCTGCTTCAGGAAATGGACATTCTTGGTTAGGGCTCTCTTCCTCTAGGACCACCGAGATGGTCCTTCCCTGGTGATTTTCAGCAATCAGTTAAAATCTGCTCCTTGGGGGAAATGGCAGACTGGGGCTGGTTGAGTTCTGTTGGTTTTTTTGATGGTTAGGACATTATGAGTATGATGTTGTTAAAGGTATTTGTTTTAATGTATTGATTAGGATCTGAATTGTATTCTGTTGCCATTGATCATCACATTGAGCCGAGGTGGTACAGTGGTTAGAATGCAGTACTGCAGGCTACTTCTGCTGACTATCAGCTGCCAGCAGTTTGGCAGTTTGAATCTCATCAGGGTCAAGGTTGACTTGGCCTTCCATCCTTCCAAGGTTGGTAAAATGAGGACCCAGATTGTTGGGGGCTGACTCTGTGTAAACCACTTAGAGAGGGCTGGAAAACATTTTGTAGACTGCTTCACATATAAGACTAAGTGCTATTGCTATTCCTCTTCCTTTTCTCTCTCCTTCCTTCCTTCCTTCCTTCCTTCCTTCCTTCCTTCCTTCCTTCCTTCCTTCCTTCCTTCCTTCCTTCCTTCCTCTGTCCACTGCCAGCAGTTCGATCCTGACTGGCTCAAGGTTGACTTAACCTTCCATCCTTCCGAGGTCAATAAAACGAAGATCCAGATTGTTGGGGGCGAGAGGCTGACTCTCTTAGAGAGGGCTGGAAAACACTTTGAAGTCTAAGGGCTATTGTTATCATCACCATCATCATAATCCATGTTTTTATCAAGGTGTGGCACTATTCAAAGGGAGCCAGCAAGTTCAAAAATAACGGCATAAAACCTGAACCGCCAACACGGTAAACAAATATTGACACTGGGATAAACCTCACCCAACAACCGTGCCTCTGGAAAAATAACATCCTACAATACAACCAAGCCCATATGGAACCCTAATTAAAATAAACCAAGTATTAAACTGAGAACTCTCATGACCCCTGAAAGAATAGGTGGGGTGGGGGGAGGGAAGAGATAGCCAAGGCCTACGCTAAGCCATTTGTATTATTGCGTTACTTCTGTTAAGCCACCGAAAGCTGTACAATTAAGCCTCGGTAATAAATTTAAAATAGCGTTTGCATTTTGTCCTCCAAAGGGGGGTGATTGGAACATAAAAAGAGCTGTTCTTGAAAATCCCCAGGGTAGTTGGTTACATTTATGGGAATTAATGAGTTGGCTTAGTGATGCCAGTCAGTGTGTGATTCGGCGATGACTGTACGATAATTTTTTGCAACTGTCCACACTTCTAAGGAAAACCCAGTGCTGAATTTTTTTTCCTCCTCCAAAACGTGAAGCAAGTAATGGTGTGTGCTGAGGGAAGGGAGACTCCTCTGGAATCAATAAAAGCTAATATTGTATCACCAAATAAAAAAAAAAAGACTGGGGGTTTTATCGAACCAGACTTCTGCAGTTAATATCAAACCAAGGATCTATGCATAAATTTCCTTTTTCAGCCTGCTAGCCAGGAAGGAAGGAAGGAAGGAAGGAAGGGAGGGAGGGAGGGAGGGAGGGAGGAAGGAAGGAAGGAAGGAAGGAAGGAAGGAAGGAAGACAGAGAGAGAGAGAGATAGAGGGAGAGAGGGGGGGCATAAATTATGCTGCTGCAGATTGTGATGTTTCAATAAGATTTAGATCTGATCTGCATTTAAATAGAAAAGTGAAGGGCGAAAGTGGGCCTTAAATTCACGTAAGGGCAAAATCACGCATATTCCAAAGTCAGAAATATGAACTGTACTGAGCATAATGGAGCACACAGGGGAAAAAAAATCCAGTTGGTAATGGATGGCAATTATTAAAAAAACAACCCAGAAAGAGTGAAGAAGCTGAGAGCTTTAATAGATCGTGCCACTGTAAAATGGGAGTTAATAAATTATTGGATATGCATATGTGCTCCTGGGGTTTAACTGAGGGGTGTGTCATCTTTGGTGGCAGATGACAAAACAGCCTCGGGGAATGATAGATATGAACATCCAAATTTATTAATAGCCAAGGGACCGAATCATAATTGAACTGACATTGGGAAGAAGCTCAAAGAATGAGGCAAACTTGACAGGTTGCCACAAAGGGGTTGCCACAAAAAGGAAGGTGGGGTGGTCAAGCTATTCTCCAAGGCACCTCAAGGCAGGACGAGAAGCAACGGATGGAAACTAATCCAGGAGAGAAGCAACTTAGAACTAAGGAGCAATTTCCTGATAGCTAGAACAATTCATCTGTGGAACAACTTGCCTCCAGAAGTTGTAAATGCTCCAACACTGGAAGTCTTTAAGAAGAGATTGGACAACCATTTGTCTGAAGTGGTGTAGGGTTTCCTGCCTAAGCAGGGGGTTGGACTAGAAGACCTCCAAGGTCCCTTCCAACTCTGTTATTCTGTTACAGGTAGATAAATGGATTTTTGAGGAACATGGAGTTGCTAGAACTTTTGGGCCAAGAATGGTGAGTTTGCATTGACTGGTAATCTTGAGAGGAGATTTCTCTAGAAATTTTAGAACTTAGAACTACGGAGAAATTTCCCGACAGTGAGAACAATTAATCAGTGGATTGGCTTGCCTTCAGAAATTGTGGGTGCTCCAACACTGGGGGTTTTAAGAAGAGATTGGGCAATGATTTGTCTAAAATGGTCTAAGGTTTCCTGCCTACGCAAGGGGCTGGACTAGAAGACTTCCACTCTTCTCCAACTATGTTATTCTGTTAAGATCAAGATCAAAGAACCAAACATGGATAGTGTGGTGGCTTCATTTTTTAAAAAAATGTCTTCAAGATCCAAGATTTGTTTTGTTGGATCTCTTCAAGATCAAACGTCCTCTGTCTGGAATACTTGGCCAGACTGAGAGATTAGACTTAAGAGATTCCACCCAACCCTTCCAGTTCAGTGATTCTAAAATCTGAGACTTAAGAAACGGGTTTTAGAGCTCTTTAGCCCCGTTTCCTTATCTGACGTGAGCCCCTTGCAACTAAGGATTTCTGACGTGGGTTGTCTAGGCTCTAGGTTTGGCTCTAGTTTAATTCTCCAAAGGGGTAAGAACCGTGTGGAGCCAACTCAACAGTGCCCCGTTATTGCGACCTTTTTCTATTAAGATGCTTCTCGTACTATGTTTGTACTTTTGAAGCCACGGGAAACATCTTCATTTTCTGCACAAGGGCCTTTTGCCCCTTAGAAGATGGTTGATCTCTTAATCTCCTTTGCCCCACTCCGCTCTTCCAGTCATGCTTCAGAGGTTCCTCAGTTCTTCTCTGTCCTGTTCAGCTTTCTCTAGATCTAAAGTTGTCAAAGGTTAAGCCCAGGTGAGAAAAACGAAGGCACGGGTTTTATTCTTTCTCTCTGAAGCTTTGAAGAGCTTCTGGTTGAGATTCCAGTTGATTCAGGAAATTCATCCCTGAAAGTTGTTCAAAGATTTCAAAGCAACTTCTCCCACTCCACCAGCTATTCAGGGTTTAATTGGTGCTGATGCAAGCATTTGAATCACAGTGTCTCCATTTTTAGACCAGGATAAGAAAAGATGGAGAAAACGTATATATTTCATAAATATTTCATAGAAACAGATGTGATCTAGTAATGCCCACTCCAAATTCCTAGTAGCTAAGTGTCTTTACATCAGACATTCCCCTTTCATTCCACCGATGTACCTGATTTTGTTGAGACTTCATTATGTCTTCAGGGACTGGAGACTAAAACATACAAAGGATGGTTGCAGGAATTGGGTATGTCTAATCTAATGAAAGAAGGACTAGGTGTGACATGATAGAAGTGTTCCAATATTTGGGGGGCTGCCACAAAAGAAGAGAGGGTGAAATTATTCTCCAAAACACCTGAAGGCAGGACAAGAAGCAACGGGTGGAAACTAATTAAGGACACCATCACTCTGCTAAACAAATAATTCCCTCAACACTGTCAAACTATTTATTGAGTCTGCATTACTATTACTATTAATCTTCTCATCGTTCCTATTGCCCATCTCCTCCCACTTATGACTGCACGACTGTAACTTTGTTACTTGTAACCTTACTATTTATATTGATTGTTTCCTAGTATGATTCGATTGCCTATTTGTACCCTATGACTATGATTAAGTGTTGTTCCTGATGGTTCTTGACAAATGTATCTTTTCTTTTTATGTGCACTGAGAACATATGCACCAAAGACAAATTCCTTGTGTGTCCAATCATACTTGACTAATAAAGAAATTCTACTCTACTCTACTCTACTCTACTCTACTCTACTCTACTCTACTCAACTCAACTCAACTCAACTCAACTCAACTCTATTCTATTCTATGCTAATTCTGTTATCCTATTATTCTTTTATTTAAAATTGTTCTCTTTTCTCTCTCTTTTTTTTCAGGTGTCGGAAAGATGTGACTACGTATTCGTCAACGGGAAGGAAATGAAAGGCAAAGTGAATGCAGTGGTCCATTTTACATACCAACATCTGAACAGCCCCCTGGAATTGACTGTGTGGGTTCCTCGCCTCCCATTGCAAATTGAAGTCTCCGACACAGAGTTAAATCAGATCAAGGGCTGGAGGATCCCCATCGTTTCTAACAAGAGGTGAGATCCCTTGGGAGCTTCCTAGTTGAGGTCTCATCAAACCATGCCATGCGCTAGTCTCTCCTCTTCCATAATTGCCTGAAAACATCTGATTGACTTCATTCACACTACACTGGGTTCCTCAAACCAGCCAACCATCTTTTTCTACATGGTGTTTCTGTGTTGTGTGAAATCAGCCTATCTACCTTGGTTGCTAGTAAGCGTGAACAACTGCCAATACTTTCTATTCTGAAGTAAAGGTAAAGGTTCCCCTCGCACATAATATGTGCTAGTCATTTCCTGCTTTAGGGTTTTAATATCAGCAGTGCCACGCGGTCAACTTTTATTGTTGGTTTGACCATCTGGCTTGAATCTCTTCACAGACTTGTTAGAGACAGCGATGATGAAGAGGAGGATGAGAGAAAGGGAAGAGGTTGTACTCTCCAGTACCAGCATGCAACAGTACGGGTCCTTACTCAGTTTGTAGCTGAACCCTTGGACTCTGGTGGCCAAACTACTTACCTGCTGGGCTCCGACTGGCAAGTGGACATCACTGACCTAGTAAAAAACTTCATGCAAGTGGAAGAGCCAAGGATTGCCAAGCTGCAAGATGGACAGGTGCTCATGGGACAGGAGTTAGGAATGACTACCTTACAGGTGAGCAAAACTGAAGCCCTGGGTGAAAAGACGGGTTCCTTACTACACCAGACCCAAAGATTCATATCCTTCATCTAACTGGAGACTCTTAGAGATGTTCACAACTAAGATACGAAGGCAGCGTGTAGTTCAGGGCTACAGGGCATGTGAATTAGGAAGTTTCTTTAAGTGCAGGTGTCAGGGTTCCGAAGATTGCCCTAATTAAATCATGAGCCTCAAGCCAAACTTCAAAAGAATCCACAAGATTTATTTGGAGCAGCATGTCCGGCACTAACCCATGTGAAGCCAACTCTGACATACGTAATCTATTATCACTTATGACTTTGTTTCCCACACACACACACACCCATGGATGTGTCCTAAATCAGATTCTTCAATGAAACACATTCACGGGCTGGGTGTCATCAACCACACTCTCCAATGAAGAATTTTCGTGGGCAGAAGATCCAGTAGCCTAGGCTACAATCTTTATAAGCTAAGTGTGGAATGTGCTTCTGGTTTTTATTTGCTGTACTGCTCCTTCAGGGTTTTTTCCCCCTCTCCTTCTTATGGCAACTCGGAAACAGGCATAGGAATGCTTTACGAGTTGACAGCAGAATCCATCCAACTGAATAACGGAATAAAAAAAAGAGTTGGAAGGGTCCTTGGGGATCTTCTAGTCCAACCCCCTGCTCAAGCATTACCACTTCAGACAAATGGTTGTCCAATCTCTTCTTTAAAAACTCCAGTGATGGAGTACCCACAAGTTTTGAAAGGAAGTTGTTCCACTTATTAATTGTTTTCTGTTAGGAAATTCCTCCTTTGTTCAAGGTTGCTTCTCTCCTTGATACGTTTCCGTCTGTTGCTTCTTCTTTTTCTTTCTTCCACCTTCTTCCTTACTTTCTTTCCTTCTTTCCTTCTCTCTCTCTCTCTTTTCTCTTTCTCTCCTTTCTTTTTTCTTTTGTTCTTTCTCTCTCTTTTTTCCTTCCTTCCTCCTTCCTTCCTTCCGTCCTTCTGAGTTACTTGTGCTATTTCTTTCAAATGTTTCTAATAAATAAATTCATTTTTTAAAAAAAAAGTTTCCACCCATTGCTTCTTGTCCTGCTTTCAGGTACTTTGGAGAATAGCTTGACCCGCTCCTCCTCTCTGGGGCAGCCCCTCAAATACTGGAACACTGCTATCCTGTCACCCCTGATCCTTCTTTTCATTAAACTAGACATACCCAATTCCCGCAACCGTTTCTTCATATGTCTTGAACCTTACTGAATGATCAATCCAAGAGGAAGCAGAAAGGAAGATTGGGGTACATTTCAGAACCGGAAAAGCCGATTAAAGTAATAAAAATGCTGAATATGTAGCCACAGTCCTTTAAAAGTCCAAATCTGTTCTTGGTTTACCATGAGAAGGAGGACAAATAGGAACGAACAAACTACTATGCTAAAAAGAAACCAAAACGGTAGCACAAAGCAGAAAGAAGTGTTTTTATGTTTCAAGAATGCCCTGAAAGGTACTAAAAGTTCATTTTATGCTGTTGGATTAGCTACAGATAAGGTGGTTTTTTTCTTCTTCTTCTTTCACTCCTGCATTGCAAAAAGCTTTTTATGGCACTCAGCAACCCGCACATTGCATTGAGCAAATGTATCCGTCTTTTTTTTTTTTTTAAGGGGGCTTTTGTTAGAATGGCACCACTCTGCAGCTCTTTCTAAAGACGTTTATCAGTTGCAGAAACTCTTCACTCTGCCTTGTGTCCAGAAATACAAAGAATATATTTGGGAGAGAAATGCAGCAAGGAAGTGAGTGACAAATTGATAGTTGGTCCATTCACTTGGAAGAATACCTGTCTCCCGAGAATTCGTCCAAGTCACCTATATATGGACAGCCCAGATCTCATCCACTCGATTGCTCCATGTTTATAAATCTCTCTCTCTCTCTTTTTTTTTCTTTTTCTCTTTCTGTCTTATTCTGTCTCTCTCTCTCCATCTCTC